TTAGATGGTGCTCAGTAACAGTTAAATATTGAATAGTACAAACCAAAAAAATAACAAATAAATAATTCCATCCAAACCTCGCTATGGCGATGGTGTTGTGCTCAATGAAAGTATCCCAACATATGCGTAATCTGTTCGATTGCTGATGAAATTTATTACTTTTAAGGCCTTAGTGGAAAACCAGTCGTGTACAGATCTTACTCTTTCCATCACGGGGGTCGTGCGGCATATGCTCCTTCTATTGTTGCCGTGCAACTTGTAATTTTGCTTAAAACCTTACTGTACCAGATCTCATGTTTGAACTCAGTGTAAAAAACCTCATTAGACTAGTTTTTTTATAATAGAACTAACTTGACCGTTTTTGATAGTTAATGGTCAAGAAAAAACTTTATATCATAGCTTTTTTTTAAAAGAGATCCAGTGATGAGTCAAAAGCGTGTGCTTTTTTGCGACATCTCCTATTATAGTATCTTCAGCCGAAATCACCAGTACTAAGTTTTCCAAGATAAGGATTAGTTGAAATTTGCAGGTTGATTTTGCGCAGCCCTTCTAAATTTTGCAATAGGTGGGGAAGAACTCGCTCAAAGAAAGAACGGCAACTTGGAAAATTAGAAAAGCTGCGGTTGAGGTTGCATAAAGACCCCATAATCTATATACAATCGGACGTAATCTTTTGTGGGTGTGTATAACTCGCGCCTAGTTCAAGACACCCTTAGGACAAATCATCATTTGCTTTTATTCCAGGTGGTCAATTTACTAATTAACATCGAAAAAAGTTCTGCAATGTTTGGCCGATACTCAAGGTATTTTTGTACACAGTCTACTCATCTGAGGTTCGTCTAAGCACTAAAGATTGATGCTATGTGACAATCAAACAACGGGAACTGTAGCGGTTAGAATCGTAGAAGCAACAGTTGTGAAACACATTCAATGAATAGCGAAAATTAAGTACCGACCCAAACTTCATCCGTGAGGGGACTGCCATTGCTCAGAGAAAAGTCAGTGGTTCAATTCCTTTGATATGAACACAGCGTTCTGTTCACCTTTTTAAATTCCTCTGATTTCTCCAGATTATATTTTACAATATATTATCTGCAGAACAACTGCCTCTCACCTTCTATAT